GGTTTGTTCTTACAAAGATCGATTGAAAACCTTACAAAAAGCAGATCAGGAAACCCTGGAATATATGATTTGATAGATCTTCATCTCCTCTTTCGAATGGTGAAAACCACAGTTCTCTATCCTGTTTTTATCAAAAGTTATTTGAAAAATACTCATTCGTATTTTTTAAAATGAGCATTATTATAACCAGCACATAAGATCACAACACAGATCTTATCGAAATTTTTTTATTATGATATTAGTTGAAGTATGATCAAAAAGCATAGAAAAATAGAGCATTCTTTTCTCTATCAGACTATATACAAAGAAAGTCTCTTAAAGCTTTTTATAAGGAATAAAAATACTACTGCCACTACTTTTGGATTGCCCTAAGTAGAAGACTTACGTAAAACTTAGATCATTATAAAGGAAATACTCGAACCTATTTCATCTATAGAAATTCATTCAAATCAAATCTTTAGAACTTAAAAGTTGTCATATAGATCTATCTAGTTCGTTCTTATTGAAAACTTCTAGGCAAATATGAGCAATTGTTTGCATGGACAAACTAATTGTTTTTGGATAAAACGATGCTTCTTCAACTTTCTTATTTTTGTTTAATAGTAATGGAAGGAAATTATTACATTATTTAGACCAACATATGATCCAAATTTGCCACTTTCTGGTTATGTTGTATCATCAGCTGATCGTTTATCAAGTTCTGTTGCAACGATAAAAAAAAAGAATTTGAACGATTAGGTGGAACATTTTCATCAAAAATTGATGAAACTGTTGGAATTGTTATTAGTTCTCAAGGTGTTTCTCATATTGATTTGATATTGTTTTATTTGATATTTTTTCTTTTATAAAAAGATAAGATTCAAAAACTAAGTAAAACACTTCAAGAAGCTCAAACATTGAATATTTACGTTGTCTCAGAAGATTTTTTAAATGAAATACAAAAAGGTCGTCCATCAATAATTATGGAAAAATGTAAAATATCTAGTTGGGGAATTTTACCACATATTCGACAACAAACTAAAACTGATGAAGAAGCAAAAATCAAATCTGGTCGACAATCATTTACAATATTATCAGGCAAATCAAATTCCAAGTTTTTTTTTATCAAATAATCAAATATATATTCAATTTGATTTTCTTTTAAGCCCGATTAAAAAAATTTGTACCAGATAAAGTTAAATTAAAATTAAAAGATGGAGCTGCTGTTCATCCTGATTCAGGTTGAACATCAGAGATGGGCAAGTTGAGTGATTTTTGGACTTGAAACAAGTCAAGTCAGATTTGACTTGACTTGACTTGGGTTTTCGTTGTACAAAATGAGGTCCTAATTCACTTTGAACACAGCACTCCTTTGTTGGTATGCTTAACACAACTCACAGCACTGCGTGAGGGTGAGGGCTGTGCCAAAAGTGAAAAAATTTCCAATAGAGCGAAATCATTTAAGTAACAATTAAAAAGATAATATTGTTGTGACATTAAATTCCTTTACAATATTGCTAAAAGAAGACCAGTTTGTATTCATAGACTGTAAAAGATAAATTATTTTCATTATTTGACAATTTTAGATCAATCAAAATTTGAGTGGAATAAAATTGTAGTAGAAATAGTCAGGAAAGACAGATTGATTATTTTAGATAAAACTAAAAATGAAATAGCTTCTATGCAAAAGAAATTGATATAAAAATACAATTGAATTTCATTGGATACAGATGGTCGAAATCGATAAAATAAAGAATAAAAAAATATCCAGTAAAAGTATTTGAAAAGTTAACTGATTCAAATATGAATTTGACTAAAAACCAATTTTAAAACTATGATTTGCGTAACTAAATTATTTAAAGTTTATTATTACATTAATATGTTAAAATATAAAATAGACTTTTATTCGGTATGAGATCTTTTTCAAACAATCGTATGAAATTATTTGATTTTTGATTGAGAAGAAGAAAATAGAACTATAATCTGCTCATCAAAAATTATATCATATTCTACAATACATCTGTAGAATTTGACGTAAAATCATATAAGAAAATTGAATCATTAAAACAAATAAAGTTTGTTCTAACTTTCTAACAATTTCATTGTGAAACTATCGCTAAGTTTTAAATATATTTGAAAAGTATCTTGCTTGAATAACTATTCTGATCACATTTTTAAAGATAACAGTAATGAAAATCATCGTGAGATAAAATATTTTACGAGAATAGATTTCGTTTAGCGATAATGTAGAATAGAATGAGAATTGTTTCAAGAGTCTAAGGATTTTCATCAATTACAAATGGTATAGAGAAAACTTTCTATCAATGAGGAAACTTTTCAAAGATCTGACATTAATTATTATTAAAAAATCTATATGAACAGAATCTTCACTTTTTTTATCTCTTTTTCAACCAGGGGTGTGGGTGGGGGATGTGCGTTTGGATGTGGGTGTGTGAATGCAGATAAAGAGAACACCCACACCCACACCCACATCGTGTTACTTATAAAAAAAAATCTAAGCTTGCCATTGGATAGAGCTCGTCGAGTTTCACTTGGAACACGGTTGGAACACTTGGAAGATGTTCCTAGACGAATCGAGGCTGAAATTACTCGAGTCGGGTACCAACTTCACCTACGTGATAAGAACACGATTCGTTGTTTTTAATCAAGAAACACGTGTAGATGTCAAGCACTTTTATACAGGTGAGATTCCCTTTACTCGTGGTCTGTTTGGGTGTGGGTGTGGGTGGGTGTGGTGTGGGTGTGGGTATGGGTGTGGGTGTGGGTGTGGTGTGGTGTCGGTATTATTTACAGCCACACCCACACCCTTTATTTAGCTGTTGAAGAAGCCAGAAAACGACAAAGTAATTCAATTCAATCGTATCGCAAAGCTGTCAAGATGCATATTGCTGTTGTTTTCATTTTCGGCATATGTTGGTAATTATAGAAATACATAGTATTCAAAAAAATCTTCTACATTTTAATATAGGCTTTCTCAACAACTCAATTTCATTCTTACTTCTGTATATGAATCAATTGGAGAGTGATCCGGTACTCCTAATGTTTATCTTATATCGTATTTTTTTGCCATGAGTACTTCAATGTATAAATCATTTCTTTATTTTTGTATGAATAAGGGGTAAATGAGAAAACAAAAAATAATATTTGATTATCGTTTCAATTTTTTTTTTCTTATTGATGTTTAGATTTCGTAATGGTTTTCGTGATGCATTTCGTTTTTGTTCATGTGTAACATCGTCAGCTGAATTTTCTTCACAAACTCATGAGTCTTCCTGTAGTTTTTCGGAACCAGCAGTACTGAGTGTGGTGTATTCATCACAACTTAAAACAGAACAATGAATTCAACACATGTATCTCGAGCAACGATATCTGAATTATCGATCAATCTCAATCGGCATCATCGACAAAATTTATGAAAATTAAAATTTTCTTCTTCATATATTCTTCATTGTGTTTAGTGATAGTTTTGTCTTTAAGTGTAAAATCAAAGAAAGACAGAAATAGGATGGGTGGGTGTGAGTGTTCCTGAATAAACACAAGATCAGCATCCATACCCACATCCTTCTCTGAATAAATAACTGTCTGAATAATGGAAGAAATCAGTCATTACCGTCGGTTTCTCAGACTTCCACCAATTTCATCGGTATCCAAGGTCATGCTTGAAAGTACATCCCTAGCGGAAATAGCATAGATGGCGATTGAAAAATTCAAATGAAACACTTGGTGATCCAACCCACTCTCGAGATGAGTAATTAGTGTGTGAGTATGTGTAGATGAATGTGAGGTTAGAAATGTGCTGGCGTGAGTGAGAAATGTATATGAATACGCGTGGATGAGTTGAGTAGGTGTCAGTATGCATAAAGTGAACACCAAAATCCAGAGCTTCTCATTCTCGAACCCACGGCTTCAAACTCACACTCTATTCATAACTTCTGATGTTTGGATTTTATTAGGTCTTATACGACGCACCACTATGGAATTCGACATGAAAAATTGCCTGACAGCTCCAAGAAGCCGTTGGATTTCGATGATCGAACCCTTCCAGAAGCTCAGTGATGAAATGTTGTCGCAATGTCCTGGATTTTGATAAAATCTGGCACGATGTGATTCGCCTTGGTTGATACAAATACCTTCTCTTTGTTTTTTTTCTCACTGAAAGGTCGGCGTTTACACAAGAGACAATTTAATGTCTGTTTTCATCGGTAACAAAAAGTAAATACCTAGGTGAAATAACATTGCATAAATATATGTTGACAACAATCTTATGGTGTTTTTCAACGCTTCCAAGCAAGCAAATGATAATTAGAATCTGTTGACCTAAGAAACGATGCACAATACTTATGCAATCCACAAAAATCTCTGTTGTGAATGTGGGTGTGCCTACATGGAAAAAAATACCGTATGCAACTAAAACAAGGCTCTGAATTTTGCAGCAAAACAGAAAAGGTTGGGTGTGAGTTGGTATGGTAGTGGATCTAGTTTATTCTCTACATTCACACTCACACCCTCGTTAGACGAAAGTCATATACACTATCGACCTTAGAAACTCTGTGTATTGCGTTACACGCTCAAGACTTGTTTTTAGTGTGTTAGTGTGCTGATGCTTGTGCGGCATAAACCTATTTAATGGTATAGTGATAATCATCATCTCAAAATAGTTGTGAAGTATATAATGTATAGGTAGGTGGATGCAGTTGTCGTCATTATTCACACTTGGTTGTCTCTCATAGAGATTGAGTGCTACTACGAAGAAACGAGTTTGAAAAATAATCTTCTTGGTATTTTCATATTTCTCCTGCCATTACATATTGACAGAATCCCATTGATACCCATGGCATCAATTGAATAGGATTGTTCACCTCTGACGCTAGATTGTGGTGATGAGAACGCATCGCAATTCGAAACAGATGAGTATGCAAGGCAATAACATCTAAACTTTGAAAATATGTTTTACTACGCAAATTTTTCAGAATATTACCAGTATCATGAAATCGCAGAAGTGTAGACGAAAAGGAATTAAACGTCGTTTTTTATTGGCTTAGCATTCAATGTTGTGTAAAAGTAGATCAAAATCCAAAAGTAAGCCAAATGATTTTGTGTTGATTGCATCATTTTCTGAATTGATATCAATAGAATAAAAGGTTGACTTCACAAAAACATTAAACGAAGTCAAATGAAATTCTTTTTCGACACCAACATTTTGTTTGAAGTAAAGGTAGCAAATCTTTGTGGAAGAATATTTATTTGATTCTTACAATAGAATCTTTCAATCTTACTTTATTATGGAGACCTATTTCATAAGTATGAAGACTGTAACTTCATTATGAGAAATATCTTGTTCAAAAAGAACAGTCATTATTACCAGTGAAATTATAGTCGATTGATATTCAGAAAGAGTAAGTACCAACGATAGATTGGAAAAGCCTTAACATCCATCCATGCCAATTTATGATAATAAAAGTACTTGATTAATTATTGAATAAGATGTCTGTTTTGCACAATAGTGAATGTGCCCAGCAAACTATAACAGGATGCACTACCATCAAAACATATAACTTTCTTAAAAACATTGATATTTCGAACTTTTACAACAGCTATTGTGTCTTGTACTGATTCCATTCCGTCTCAATAATTTCTTTTTAGTCTGTAAAAAATACATTTCAACATGTACATAAAACAACAAGTTTGTCAATGTTTTTTAATATTAATATGTCGTGTTCAAAATTACAGAGAGTGAACATAATTCCTATGAATCACGTTTATGGGTAGAAGAAGAAAAGTACTCCCACTAGTCGACGATCTTGCCTCACTTCTTTCCAGATTCTTGTTTTTCTTGATTATCAGTCAAGATTCTTTTATCTTTAACTTCATGAAAGATTCTTTTTTCATTCCTCTGAAAAATAATCTTACCTGAAGTTCAAGATTAAAAAGAATCTTGGCTGACTTATCACGAAAAACAAGAATCTGGAAAGAACGATGGCAAGAATGTCGACTTGTGCCGTCTTTGCAATATAAGATGCTGTCCAAAGGCAGTTTTGAAAGTCAAATATGTTCCTTACAACCATTACTAGCTGTTGCTCTAAACAAAAGGCCGACCTGACTCAGAGTTCTTCCGCTCAATCACTTAAGCTCCCACTCCACTCTGATTAACCACAAGGGTCAGTGTATGTCATAAAGTAATTAGTATAATTTATTATGGGTTGTCCGAGGTTATTCCATGGCTAATGACACCAAGACTTGAACTCAATACTTCTGTAGTATGTACTCAACAACTTAACCAGTCAATCATAGCGGTTCCCTTATGCGAGGAAATCAATATTCTCTTTTTTATCAATAATTCATGGACCAACTTTCCTAAGTCTAGCACGCTCCATAACGATCTCTGTTATAGAATTCCATGCAATCTTCTAGAACAATCGTTGCTGTAAAGAGATAAACTGATAAAAGTAGAACTCTTCTAGTAGAAGAAACTTTGTTTGACTTGATTGTGCCGAACAATTTCAAAGTCAGTAAAGTCTATCACCAATAAAATTGAAAACATTTTCGATAGCAAATGAATTTTCAAGTACTAGACCAGCTCGTCTTTCACATGAATTCGCGATGTTATCTTTAAAATGTATTCTATGAAATAAAAATGTTGTCTGTATGGTATTGAAACAAATACTCAACATTGTCATAGCAAATGTGGAAGCATCAATATTAGTCAAAGATTGTGGAGGAGATGAAACGATTAACGTGTTCGTCTTTCGAGTATTAGCATAATGTTCTAGCATTTCCTATCGCAGCACCATATTTGTCTAATTTTATTCTGTAATCATCGATCATGACTAATGTTATCTCATCTCATTGTTTTCTCTGTTTTTTCTTTAATTGCTTGCTTCATAAAGCTACTTGTAATCAGAATTAGGCCCTTTCAAGTCATATCATGGTCACAAAGTTGAATTGCCTGCAATACAGTCAATTACTAACCAAAGGCTAGATACAAAAACTGAATTGAATATTTTTCACTTTTTGACCTTTCTATGGCCAACCATAGTTTCCAAAAATAATATTTCTGTTTCATGCAGCATTATCAAATTCACAGTACGGATTAGAAATTCGTAACTCTCTCTCTCTCCTCGGAATAAAAACCCATGACCTACTATTGTAGACCACTGTTTCGTCAATATTTACCTAGAAAATCGAGAGTTTTCTTTTACGTCTTGTGAGATTTTTCTTGTTGTTAATTATCTATTCTTGAACAAACATTCTCTAGATATAAATATTTTCTTTGATTATTTAGTTAAATTGTATTTTTTGTCGTAATATATATCCTTCGTCAAAACCTCTCTCAAATTTGAATAAGAATGAAATATATAAATGTATATAAAAAAAAAGACAATAATACAAAAAAACTATCATCTAAAAATCTACTTAAGCACCCATTGAATGACAAGCAATAAAAAAAAAAAGATTTTGTGTGACTAACTGCAAACCGATCAATTAATATAGATAAAAAATAGTTTTGAATTCAGTTTATAGAATAAGTTTGAAAAATGTTTGTCATTGTTTTAAAATTCACGACCACCTAAATAAAAAAAGAAAAATTAAATGCATAAAAAAGAAAAGAAAACTTTTTTTGTTTTCACTTACGTTCTACAGTAACAGTACATGATTTTTCAACTTTGCCTAATGTATTACTTGCAACACATGTATAGGTACCTTCATCATTTCGTTGTAAAGATTGAATTTGAAGCCATGATGTTAAAACATGCGCATTTGGTCCACCACGAACCAATGTTGATATACGATCATCATCAGCTATATAATTATATATTTATTTATACATCATATATTTTAATGATCGTATCATCTTACTTGGATAAACAATTTGTTTTCCTGTTGGTGATCGATATACCCATTCAACAACAGGTAATGGAACACCCGCAACTTCACATGTTAAAAATACGTTACTTCCTGTTTTATTTGATACGCTTACAGGTGGTAAACTTATTTCAGGTGCTAGAAAACAAAATAGATTTAAATAAAATCAAACAAATATCTTTTTATCTTTTTTACCTGAATCACATGGTTTACGTTTAAATACTTTAATAATTGGTTTTTGTTCAATTTTAGCAAGTTTACTTGATTCCATTAAATGACAATAGTTACGATAAGTTTTTCCATCCGAACTATTTCGTCATATTATGATTAATGTTTTAATGATATTGCATTTATTTAACTTACCCACACATTTCTGTTTGATCATTACATTCACATCGTGCTTCACGTGGTCCTCCACGATTATCCATACGAACGCTGTGTTTAAAAGAAAAAAAATTTTTTTATCTTGTAGGTTTTCCGTTCAACTCTATGCAAAAAATATTATAACGTTGTCTTAGAAGAGCTATTACAATTTTATTTTATTTCTTGAGTTCTGACAAGGTATTGGTGAAAAAAATCAAAAATATGGAGTTTCAACCTGAAATTTTCCTCACAGACAGGTCTCATGAATTTTAAAATACTCTGAAAATTTCTGTTGTTGAAAACACTAGACTTTCTTACCTTTCCTTGTGACACATGATTGTTTTTGTATGCTCTCAATATCTCAAGAAGAACATATCGCTTTCGGGCTGAAATTTCTAGCACATTCTAAAACTCATCAGATTTGCCTATGGACAAAATTTCAATTTTTTCAAAAATATCTTGGCTGAGATAAAATTGTAATAAGGACAAATCCTTACAAGAGTCTACTAATGTCGTCGCGATCCACTTATTGGCAAAATATTAGTTCCGTTGGCGAGTCACACTTGAAAACATTCCCTTGTTAGATAACATTGGAAAAATTTAGAGGTACAACTCTTGACATTTTTAAAGTAAATACTCATTTTGTATTGTTTTATGTTTCAATGTTAGCGGTTATCCTTATAATATATGTTTATATTGTAATGAAATGGTGTAACTCAAATCTTGAAAATACATTGAAAAAGTTGCTTTACTTTGTAGCAACCGTTTTGAGCTGTTTTTACAGACTATATTTTAATATCGTTCAAACATGTACTTTTTACTCAAAGGGAATACATAGTTAGAAACTTCTTTCAACGTAGATTTTTTTTATTTTTCCAAAACTTGTTTTTGCAGATGATAAATCGAAGGATATTTGTCCAAGGACTTTTTGTAACATCTGTTAGATATTCAATACTTACTTGCATTGAAGATTTTCACCGCATGCCTCATATTGTTTGCTTGATGGGATATAAGGATGATTGAATAGATTA